TGCGCTTAATATTAGTGAACGTGACGAGGAAAACATTTTGAACGTGGAAAGTGCTCTGTTTGGTCTAAAACGTAAAGTTTCAACAAACCAGTTGTCCATTAAAGACTTTTTTTGGTAAAAAGAAGTAACTTTGAAAGAGAAACATTGTTTTTTTTTAAATTTTTAATGCTTTCCCGCATCTATCGTTTTCCCGCATTCATCGTTTTTATTTCCCACCCCCGCCGAAAACGATGCATCGAGGTTTCACTGTATTAAAAAACTGATTATGATTCTGTTCTGAAATCTGGCAGTAAGACATGCACACATTCTTGCTTTACTTTGCATTTGTTTTGAGATTAATATCCTTACTACTGTCTAAAATTTTTTTATGGCATCTTCTTTCCCACAAAATTAACATCTTCAGCATAGATTCTAAAAAGATGTGTTCCATTCATTTTCAACCACTTCTGATTGTCTTTAACCTTCCTAATGACACATTTTAAAGCAAAATTGAAAGGCAGTGGAAGTAATAAATTTCAGATGATTGTAAATTATAAATGGTCTCCAACAATTTTTATATCCCTTTGTTTGAGTGATGTGAAAGTTAGAAGAGTCTAATTACAACTAAAACAGGTATAAATTTAACCCTTTCACAAACAAATACCTATTTAAACAGCCAAAACAACTCATTTATTTGCCTAAGATCATGGCCAAAAGCCAGCTTTTATTTCCCAGTTAGGTTTTTGTAGCATATTAAACAAATACATACGTTAAAATAAAAAGTTGTTTGGATATATATGTATATCTTACCCTTTACATTCATCTCAATACTATTTACATCTTGGCATGATGTTACATATTAATATTTGCTGATGACACAAGTGTCATAATTTCTAATAAAAATTTTGATGATTTCTGTTCAACATCAAACACAGTTCTGTCTCATATGAGTAAATGGTTTACTGCTAACAAGCTGGCCCTAAATCTAGATAAAACGAATATGATAAAATTTATAACAAATAACTCACCACA